CAAAATCAAAGATAAAGACAACATCTTGAAAACAGCTAGGGAAAAGAGAAATATACAAAGGCAAGCAAATCAGATTAAGCTCAGATTTCTCAACAGAAACTATGCAGGCAAGAAGGCAATGGGGAGAGATATATAAAACCCTGAATGAAAAAAAACTACCACCCAAGAATCCTCTACCCAGAAAAGCTGTCAATCAAATACGATGGTGTAATCAAAACATTCCAGGATAGGCAGAAGCTAAGGGATTTTGCCAAAGCCAACCCTGCTATGAAAAACATCCTAAAGGAAATTCTGTGGACTGAGAACCAGCAAGAACACATAACAACTACAGAATGATGTACATGGCAGCATCAACCTGAACTCAGTTGAAAAATGGAAGAGTCAAAGTCAAGAACAGAATAAAATTAAAAGAACAGAGGATCTGGGAGGTCAGTCTATGATCAAAACAATTACAATGTGAAAAAATTAAACACAGAAGAACAGAGATCCAGGTGGTGGGAAGGTCAGGTAGATTATTGGATAAAATAGACTATCTTAAATGGAGGGAAGAACAAATGGAATATAAGGTAACCACATGGGGTTGGAGTGGGTGTTTATTTTGGTTGTTGGGGAGGGCAATACAAGAAGGGAGGAGGAGGCAAAAGAACAAGATAGATAGGGGAACACTGAGAAAGGTTTGCATGGCCTAGTGGGACAGAGGTAAATAGTGATGTACACTCAACCTTGGGACAACAGGGCTCTGGGATACAGGGATCTAGGTATAGCTTGAAGAGGGGAAATAATTCTAAAATCCTTGACTGCCTCATGAATATTAGTTTCCCTTGCCTACTACTGTAAAATAGACACTTGAGTGGGATGGAAAGGAATGATGGGAAACATGATTAGAGAAAACTTGTAAGCCCGCCTTCAGCCAATAACTGATTGAAATACCTAATAGGGGTTCTACAACTTGCCCAGTGAAATAGGCCGCGTGCAAAGCCTTTACACAATATAGGACCTTAGGTGGAATCCTGAGTCCCATCCACAACCTTGTGAGGTGAGACATTCCCACTAGAAAGGACAAGCAGACTGGAATAGCTACAGTGACAGGA